GAAAATCAATCAATTTGAAAAAATGTGTTATTGTCGGAGGAATGGATATGATGGTACAAGGTTTAGAATTAGCAAAAAAACCACATGTAGTCGTGGCAACTCCTGGACGATTAGCGGATCATATAGAAAGTTGTAATACATTTTCTCTGGAAAAAATTAAGTTCTTAGTATTGGATGAAGCTGATAGGTTATTAGGTGGATCTTTTGATAAACAACTGAAAGTTATACTTCCAACTTTATCTAAAGAAAAACAAGTTTTGTTATTTAGTGCTACAATTACAGACGCTCTTGATAAAGCAAAACATCTTGCCCCTGGGAAGGTATAACAATTATGTTTTTTTATTATGCCTTTGTATATATATATATATATATATATACACACACACACACACACACATTATTTATTATTACTGTTTAAGGTGTTTATGTGGGAAGCAAAAGATGAATCTGGTATTGCTACGGTAAAAGAACTTGATCAACGTTATGTTTTGTGTCCTAAAGATGCTATTGATTCTTTTCTTGTAGAAGTTGTAAGAACATTTCGCACAACAAATGAAACTGGATCCATTATGATATTTACAGATACTTGCAAGTAAGGGATATATCTGTAGATATATATTTCTTTTGAAAGTTTTCTTGAAATATATTATTTTTGTAGGAATTGCCAGTTATTATCTATGACATTAAATGAAGTAGGATTTATAAATGTTGCACTTCATGCAATGATAAAACAGAAAGAACGTTTAGCAGCTCTTAATAAATTTAAATCAGATCACATAAAAATTTTGATAGCAACTGATGTCGCGGCAAGAGGCTTAGATATAACTGGCGTAGAATTAGTAATTAATCATACGATACCAAATGTACCAAAAGAGTATATTCATAGAGTTGGTAGAACAGCAAGAGCAGGTAAAGGTGGTATGGCAGTTAGTCTGATAACACCGTATGATATAAAATTACTACATGCAATTGAAAGTATTATTGGAACAAAATTAATTGAATACAAAATAGATGGTAAGATATTTTCCAACATTAAGTTCTATGTGTAATATGATAAAAAAATTTATTTTTCATATATGTACATATATATAACAAATTGTTTTTCGTAGATGAAGAAGTTGTTACGATCTTAACTCAGGTATCCGTAGCAAAAAGAGAAGCAGAAATAAAATTAGATGAAGCTGATTTTTATGAGAAAAAAATAATTAATAAGAGAAAACAGTTACTATTGGAAGGGAAAGATCCAAAAGAAATAGATTTAATTTTACAGAAACATAAAAAAACGTCGAAAATTGCAAAAAAGAAAAACAGAAATATCACATAATGAAAATAGATAATACAGATTGAATTATACATTTCTAATAATGTAAATAAAGTTGACTGTATAAAGTATATATTAGTATTTGAAACGATGATTTGTATTATAGAAAAGGTACAAAATCATTCGTAATTACGAATTTAATAAAATTTACATATATTTTAATACATTTTTTGCAAAAATATATTACAAAGACGTTAGTTTAAAATAATTACGAATATATTCAGTCTCGAAAATACTTATTATTTTAATGTATCCTTTCGCCTTAAGTAATTACGATACACAATATATTCCATTAATGAGATTATATATACCTCTTATTTTTAAAAAGTAAGAATTTTTCTATATTAGATTGATTATATATTAAATTGATTGATTTTTAAAATGACATAGCAAAAATAATATTAGTAAATTGTATATATGGGTACTAAATAACAATTGATGGTATATATCATATAGACATAGATGAATATAAAGATATTAATAATATTTATAATCAATAATCTATTTCAGTTTAGCCTTTGGCTGTAATTTTATCTTTATTCTTGATTAAGTTTAACATCCTTAAAAATGCATGAAGTTCTGCTATATATTCTTTTGGATATTTCCGATAATGTCCTACATGGGGTGATCCATCAAATATTTTAACATAAGTCTGCAATTAAATAAATTGAGATTAATTGGAAAAAATATTTATATTGTTAGAAAAATACCCATATAAATATTCATCTTTACCTTTATACCTAAGGAATCCCATGAATCTCTTACCCTCATATTACTACTTACTGGTCCCACAGGATCTACATTACTTACAAGAAAAAGTGCTGGACTCCGTATCAAATTTGTATGAAACATCTGACTAGAGCGAAGGTAATATTGTGTAGATTGCTTGTAAAATGCTTTCATATGATAGCTAAAAATTTCAAAAAGTTATTAGTTTGTAAATTAATTTACTACATGTTATTTATGTACATGTTTGTTGTAGCTTACACTAAATATTTTTGTATTATAGATTGCAACAAAGGATTATTAGGAAATATAGCACGTGGCGTGCCTATAATAAATTCACTAATATCTGCAGCACTGTCCCATACATGACCAATAATTCTATCAATAACATTATTATATTTTTCACGATTGCTATGTACATAAGTTAAAACTTCGCCCCATAAATAGCCAGCCACAGAAAATCCATGCAGCATAATTTGTTGATAATCCTGATTTTCTTCTAAGAATGTCAACAAATCTGCTGCAATTATCTACAAGTAAAATGTATTCAAGTGTAATTAAGTGTCGTATAATTTACATATTATTTAATAACTTACTCTGGATCCTTTTTCAGGCCACATAAGCTGCCATGGAGTGATAGTTACTATCGTAACATCAAATCCGTGTTGTAAATACAAATCAGTAAATTTCATATAGTGTTTCTCTTTAGCTAGAAGCCAACAAATCAAAACTAGCAAAGGTCGTTTTTCTGATGAATTAGAAGTTTTCACTGTATATTTTGATATTCTAATGTCATTATCATGGGAGATAAATTTTATGTTCTTAGTAATTTCACAAGTGGACAATAATCTAGGAGTTATTAGCATAATAGCCTATTAATAAAAACATAGTAGAATAATTATTTGCAGTGATTATTTCAAATATATAATATTTAAATGAATTATAAAATGAAGATAATTACCATATTTTGTCTATTTATTAATTGTCTTGGTTGTAGATAATAATTAAATCTTTTCCATAAAAAAGAAGACATTATTTTTGTTTGTGTCATCATAACAAAAATTTATTCCAATACCTACAATATAATCAGTTTTTAATCAAATAAATTCTAATTGTGATCGCACACATATAAAACTATTTCTGCTAAACTATTTTGTAACGTGTTACCTTCGATATATTTCAACTTAATCTCTTGATATTTTGCGAAAAAAACATCAAAACCATGAGAAAGATATTTGATTTATTATTTAACAGCGACTGTTTTTCTAATAATATATAAGGATGTCTACTAGTATATAAAGCAAGATCAAAGATCGATTTTTTAATGTTTTTTTATCTATAATTAGACATAGAATGTAATTATTATCTGCTTTGTTTTTATTAAAACACATCGAATTAAGTCATAAATACTTGAAGAATAGTTGTATAAACCAATAATATATTGACGGTTATCGTTAAGTTCGTTCATATTCTTGCGAATCATAACTGATTCGATCCACAATCCAATTCAAATTAAAATCAACCTACATGCCCGTCTGTATGAAGGAATGTAATTCAATTTAAAGATCGTATTTTAACTACATACTAGATGAAGAAAGTGATCAATTTGAAATGGCAAAATGTAAAAAAAAAAAAAAAAAAAAAAAAAAAAGAAAGAAAGAAAGAAAAAAGAGAAAAAAAAGAAAAAAAAATACGTTGGATAAAAACATTCTGCGTAATTTGAGAGTAAACTTACGAGATGCAACTCAATCGACGAAGAAGCATTAAGACAAACTACCTTCGACAAGCCTTCGACGCATACTAAATATGATAGAAACTGTGTGCATATTATGTCTATAGTTGCGTGTCAGCACTGTACTATGTATAATTAACAACATAATAAATAAGCTACAAACAGGACCGCGCATGCTCATATGTCAATGCACCATCATTTTTGCACTTGATATATTAATAGATTATTATTTTCTATTAAAAATCTGTTCTAAATGGATATTAAATATATCGGTCTGATCTTTGTCTTTGATACTTGACTTTATTTTTTTGCAAACTTTTTATCATTTTTTTATCTTTCTTACGTGTACTACTAAACACGCAACAATCCTGATTAATAAAATGTGAAAGTAAAATTGCCAACATAATACCTCTCTAATCATGTTGTTAACTTTTATTTTTCGTTAGTATATCCCAAGAAATCCAAAAATCTAAACGCAGTTTTTTATAAGATATTTATAAGATAAATGTCAATAATATTCCCGAATATTGTTGAATATCTTTTTTATTTTCTATGACCTTCAATAATATAAGTGATGAATTAATCGTTATCACGCATTCGTAATGCGAGAAGCATTTAAAATGATAAAATGTTCGTTCGTTAATTCGTCGCGAACTTTATTTGATCTAAAATATTGGTACTAATAGCCAATGTTTTCATTAGCACCGAAAATTTGAGATTTTATTATATAATATTATTAATACGTCGATGTATGAAATGATATATATATATAGTCTGAGGAATAATATGTTACCAAGCACATTTTTAAATTATCACCACCGCGAAAGTATCTCATTTCAAACTGTACTATCTGTCTAGTTGCGTTTCATATCGAACGTAATCATCCGTAGGCCGCATGAATGAGCTAAAATGCAATGCATCATTCGTCTTGGCTTTTTATTTCTATTTTAGGAATACTATATTTTTAGTATACATTAAGATGTGCTATTTTTTTTAAATAACATGAAGTAAATGAAAAACATATATATACATATACATATATATATATATTTATATATATATATATATATATATGTATATATATACATAAAAATTGGTGACAGGCATTCATTGTTTTATTACAACTCTTATATATCGATTATTTAAATATCATTTAAATATTCGTATAATTGTAGATACTGTGGACACAACATCAAGATAAATTTTATCGATTATTATATACTAATGACAGAAATATTTCGTATTGATTTATTATTATCGAATAATTAATTAATGTGTCCCATTTGCAGTCCTGAAGAAATATTGTAAATTATTATAACTTAAATAAATTTAACATATATATATATATATTAAAATTACAATTTTTATACAGCTCCAAAATTCAATTTAAATATTATTTTTCCTTTTACGTACGAAATATTATTAAATCGATAATAAAGTATTTAACAAATTGCACCAACTATAAACTACGTGCAGTCGATTCAATTTTTCTTTATAACAAATATCATGGAGCGTTGCTTCGTGATTTAATAAATTAATAGAAAAAGAAAACATATTAAAAAATATCCTAAAATTACGATATCTTATTGCAATATATATCATGGAATTTTATATATTTTATATTTACAGTAATTATATTCCTATATACGTTCGCATTAGTTTTATTTATATTGGTGCCTTGTATATCGAGTATATAGATGATTATATTAACTCATTGATATAGCATTAGAGGATAAATTTACAGTATAATGAAGTTATATAAATTTGGTGCTATTAGATATGATAACCCATATTATTGCTGTATTAAATGTTGAACTTTGTAGCATGAATATTTAACTGTTGATAAGTAAATGTTGGATTAGATATCATAAGTTATCTAATTTGTAGTATATTTAATTGATGTATCTCTCTCTTTTTACGTTGCCTCTAATAATATTACTTGATTTCATATAAAATACTCACCTATAAATATACTGCATAATATAATTTTAAATATTTTATTATTTAGTTGAAGAACTGTTATATGAGAAGTAGTCCGCTATTACAAAATTCTACCATTTTTTCTACACAAATATATATATATATATATATATATATATATATGCGCTCAATAAGAATAAAGGATATTATTGTTTGTAATTATAGTACAGCCTAGCATTTTCCTCCAATGCTAATCAAAGTGATTAAGTTTAGAATGATACATTTGAACACAAGTAGTTCTTCTGAATATAAATATACTTAAGATTTCAGATTTTTATTCATGATTATTTTATCTAAGAAAGTAATGAATGTATTATAAAGCTGTGTATGCTAATCGATCGAGATATCTTAAGCATTCATTTTGCGGTATACCTTATGCAATCATTTTGTGTACTACGTGGACAATTTTATTATTTACATTATCTTCAATTTTATATATTATCAAACGTATATATTCTCTAATGTTATCATATTTTGAAGATTAAACTGATTCATATATAACAGATACATACATATATATGTATTTGGTACATGAAGATCTATAAAAGAGATCATAAATTTATACCAAAAGATGGTGTACTATAAACTTTTGAAATAATTAGCAGAGCATGAGTAATTTTTGTATTATATAAATTTAAATATAAATATAAATATATATTAGCAGAAAACATTATATGGGATACAGTAACATTATTTTGAAATTGTCACTTCTGTACCACCCTGAATTGACTTAATAATACTGTTAATAAAAGAAAAAAACAAGTATTATTCAGAATGTAAAAAATATCAATGAGATTATTGATGATATGTAAATATGACGAATTGTTAAGATAAATTCAAACTTTCAAACAATGATTTTTAATTAATGCTATTGCTACTTTTATGTACTGATAAAATGTATATGTTATATATACCCGTACTCATTCGAATATATATGTATATAATATTTATACACATTATTTACAATGGCAGCGTATTGAATTAATGAAACAAAAAGCATTAAAACAACATTAGCAAAAAATATTCTTTTACAACAGTCACTTTTAAGTGGCAGTATAAACATTGCACAAAACGTGTATTATTACCTAGTCATCCTTGTACTTACTATATTATCAATGGCAGTATAAGTTCAATGTATCAGCATATTTATGTACATTACATTGTCTCCTCTCTGATATAAATAGTATATAAACTGTAAGCACATTTTATACGTGTAATACGGTATTCCTTTATGATCATGCACATTTTAATTGGAGCATTAGTTTGTTATGCAATATTGACAGTTCTTGAATATTGACAATTCATGAAGAAATTATTTATGAATTTTTACTTTTGTCATGACTTAGTATCTTTTAACTATATTATCCTACGCTAATTATATACATGTTTCTAGTACTAGTCGACCTTGAGCTGGTTCTCAGAAAGCTTCCACAAAACTTGCGGGAAAAAGACCAGTGCGTCCGGTACGTTGCTGCGTCCCTTTATACCATCCATCATCACGTTTTTTATGTACATAAATTATATCACCTACTCGTAGTTCTAATTCAAATTCACTATTAGGTGGATATGGAACTATGCAACGAAATCTATATACTCGTTCACTGTGTAAACAAAATTATTGAGCAGCTTTGATTAATTATCATAATATAAGAAATAACAGAGTTAAATACAATAGGACATTGACAAATATAATAAAAGATATTGTTCTCACCGTTCACGCGAAGGTTGTTGTTTCACTTGTTTACCTATACCAGTATCCAAAGAATTACTTTTACGATGATGATTACCAGCAACGGTTGTAGGCATTACTACTCCGCTTGTATCGCTCGATCTATTAAAAATAATGTTATATAAAGCACAGAATTAAGAGATATAAGCTCGAAAATTCCAGAGAAATTGACACATTCACGAGATGAGATTCAACGAGAACAAATGACTATAATACAACAAATAGTCTAGCATTGTCGAAAAGAACAAGTAATAAAATAAAAGAATATATTGATAATGTAAATAAATATTTTAATTCATTCTATTACATGTAACAATACTAAACTTGTCATTTTCATGAAATACTACTAACAAAAACATAAGTAAAAATACTTAGTGCATATTATCTTCTTGAGTGCATTTATAAAACACTTACCTGACTGAATTACACAATTAGCACACATAGTAATAAGGTCAACATCATGAGCTCATGATCATATTATAATGCAAAACTGCCAAAAGCATGTACAGCTTATGTGACAGCTACATTGTATTTTTTTTTATTTATTTATATATTATAAAAAAAGCATATATAGAAATTTATTTTCTGTATGTATTTAGAAAGTCATTATAAGCTAATATTTACTTTAAACTTTATCTTTATTATAACAGCTTTTTAAAACTATTTTATAATTTTATGCATATTATAAATAAACATAAATATAATTTAATGAAAGTCGCATCGAAATTTGTATTTTGAAGTTTCTATTTAGAATTACTTTACAACGACTAACCTCTCGAAAACTGAGACCTGTAAAGAGGGTCTCTCCTTGAACTTTAGTCTCTGTGAGGACGTGACGTGCCCTTGCACAGAGCCTGGACACATGCGATGAACACTGTTCGAAGCATTTAATTCCTGTGTGGGTGCCACCTGTAGCAACTGACTTGGACAAGATCCCGATCTAATTTTTAATACAACCCCCCACCCCACAGATATATTAGAAACATATCAATGCGTGCAAAATATCATTTATTCTTATTGTCTCAAACTAATAAAATAAAAATTTATTTCTTTATTAAATGTATATTAATGAAGTGTGTATCACTGGAACAATAAAATCCCTATTCATTATGAAATTATGATACAAAATGTAATTTCATGTGTAGTGCTAAACTAATGTAAAAAATTGTTAATGAATTCTGCTGAAACAATACGAGCACACATATAGATAGTATTTATTTGACTTAAAGATGAGTACATTCACAATTGTACGTGCACAAAGGTATTATCAATAAAATTAAAAAAATGCATAGAGAAACATGCAGACTAAGTATACTTAAAATTACTCTTTTTTTGTGAATAATAAAAAACTGAACCATATAACATATACAAGCACAAAGCTTTAGATTATAGAAAGTATACATGAAAGCTTACCTAACATGCATTGGATTCATGGCATTACCATCCTCAAATACAGGATTATCCATTGAATAAGTAGCTGGTGGAGGTGATTTAGATTTTTTTATGTTAGTTAGACGACGCATCAAAGAAACACATTTGTCTTTTTTTTCCTTTGACTGAAATTTGAAAAAAAAATGTATATTTCGATGGTATAATCAATAATAATTTAATATTATAGGAAGATTACCTTTTCACCAGTTTTATTTGAAGTTACAGACGTACTTGAAGTAGGAGCAGAGACACTTGCTGTATGTAAAGTATTATTTGGGCTTTTGCTTCTGTCGGGTATAGTAGAAATAGCAGCAGTAGCAGTAGCATTTATGGCTGTACTGTTGTTATTGGTAATACTGCCAATAGCAGCTGTTGTTGATGTTGTTAAAGCAGGTTGTAATAATACTTGTTTACCTGGAGAAGCTATAATCATACAATTTTTCTTATAAATTTAGAAATATATATATATATATATTTCTATTGTTGTATATATGTATATATATATATACACACACATATATAGAACAATAAATAAAAATACATACGTAAATTTGAAGTCATCACTGCACTATGACTACGACCTAGCGGCGTTATAACAGAGGTTTGTTCATTGTGTCTGGGAGGACTATCCTCTTGAGTTATGCCTTGGCTTTGATTGAGTCGCGAAGACGATACAGGCGGAACTGGATTAATAGCACGAGGTGGCAATGCAGGCGGTGGCAATGTTCTTATATTGTAAGGTTGGGGTGCAGGCCCTTTGTTTTTAGTGTAAGTAACAGTTAATCGCGATTCATTATTGCCCTGACCAGTTGTCAATGAAGAATTCTGATGTTGCGTAGCATTTGATGTACCTCTGCATAAGCCACGTTGGCATCTGCATAGTATATATGTATATATATAAATAATAATAAAATGTAAATAATTTTAATTACTTATTTTAATTTTATATGTGTAATTTGAAAAAGTACTTACTTAGCTGGGGCAACATAATTTCCAGGGAAAACTCCACATTTTTGTGTACGATTGGATGTTCCTTTGAACCAACCATCTTGACAACGTTCTGTTACCATATAAATACCTCCTTTCCTCAACTCAAGCTCATCTGCTTTTTGTGGTTTATACGGATACAAAGCTACATAAGCAGCTGGTAAATGACTACCATTATTAGAGTTACTGGGTAAATTTTGTGATGATTGAGCAAGGACTAGATCACTGCTACCACTTCGTCTATGCCGAAAGCTCTGATCTGTACTATTACCTAATGCCTGATAAAAATTAACATTGTATATCTATTATCAAAGTTTTCTTCCAAATAAAGAGACTGTTGAGTTCTCATAAAAAAAGATATTTTACTTGTAAAGATGAGGATTCATTGGCAGAACTATTGTTTCCACTGTTAAGGCCACTGTCTATAGCTGGACTAAGTATTTCAGCACTATGTCGATGATGGGAATGTGCATGATGTCCAGTATTCATAGCAGTAAAACTATGACGCTTGACATTGTGTCTATTTCCAACTGCTGAAGGAGAAGTAGCAGGACTACTAGGACTACTAGGAGCAGTACTAGAACTGCTGGAAGTACTCGAACTATTAGGTGTGTTTGGAGTAGTTGTAGTAGAACTACCTCCAGAAGATACAGTTGAACTAGAATCTGATACTGGTAATGTTGTAGTCTAAAAACAAAATATTAGGCAAATTTTAAGAAGAATGTTAATTTTCTTTTTGGTCTAACAAAAAGTTTATCATATACCTGTGTTAACTGCGAATGAGGTTGGCTCGTTGTTTGAATGTTGCGCGAGTGATCAGTTGGTATTAAAGGAGTAGTTTCTTCATTGGTAGGAGTAGGTGGTGCTATTCGCGAAGGTCCTGGTTGTACACTATGCACAGACAATACTATTATAAGTATCTATTTGGTATACGTATATATGTTATTAAAGATGATAGTACTTACTTTGTTGACAACTTCATTAAAGCTCTAGCAACGCTATTAAGTTCTACAAAGGCTAATGGAAAAATGCCTATTCTATCTAAAAGTTTTCCTTCTGCCCAATTTTCATCTACCCTTCTAATAACGCTAATAACTTCTCCCTAGAAATAATTAATAAATATGTTATAGTACATTTTTATAAGATAGATCAATGGCTCTATCTCTATATGTACCTTATTAAAAGTAAGACAACCATCTTCATCGTCAGTGGTCATTCTAAAGTCATATAAAGCTTTACATTGTGGTACATGTGGTGGCAGTGGAGTCATCACCTGGAATATATTATCGATTAAAGGTTCAATAAAAATGAAATTGTATTTCATTTTATTTTGAACTTTTCAATACCTGAACATAGGATAATGGAAAAACGCCATGACTAGTACCGCACTCTCCAAAATACCAATTATTATCAATTTTTTTACGAAGAACAACAATGTCACCTTTCTTAAAACTTAAATCACTAAAAGGAAAAATATATCAGTAAACTGTATGGGACGATACAATGTAGAAATCTTATTTTATCATAAATTTTATAATATTTACCCAGGTACTTTAGACACATAATCATATATGGCCCGGCCATATGCCTGATTGTGTAAGTGTACCTGCTTAGCTGCTGCATTAGCATGACGTACTACTTCGGTAGTGTGCGTAACAGATGTAATATTCGTGGTTACAATAGGAGCTGGAGCAACTTGATGACCACCAAATAGCCGCTGTGGGCCTGGATTATTGCGAGAAACAGTTTTTACATTCTTAGGTGCAGCATTGCGCATTCCTTCCAGAATACGCATAAGTAATACATTTGGTGGCAAGTCATCGACTTTAACATCGACCAGTACTCTGCACTCAGGGCATCGTAGTTCTCTGTGCGTACTCACAATTTCTTCTAAACATTTTTTACAAAAAGTGTGCTGACAAGGCAATACTTTACTAGAAGTATCCAATCGTTCTAAGCACACTGAACATTCCAATAAATCATTTAGCATACACTCATCCATTTTGTATTATTATTTAATAAAATGTGTGTTTATTTTGGCCCTTTTAATTTTTCCGGCTTGTATGTGCATCCGTCCTCTCAGTTTGCACAGTCTCTCTTTTAAATCTTACCATGATTCGTCTCCCTCGTATTGACAAAAATTCCTTCACTTCGTCCGTTCTGTCTTCATCGGAATGGCACTGCACACTATACCGTGCCGAAAAGTATGCAAAGTTTACGAACCGGATGTCGTCGTTCAAGAATTATTCAAAGCAGTTTCAGATATCTCTTTATATTTTTTCAATTGCCATCGAATTTATATAACAAGGAAATAGAAACAATATGATCTTACTCGCGTTTCCTTAACGTACTGTCACTCAACTGCTGCTTTCATTACGAATATTGTCGCACATCGTTGCGCACAGTGCATCGATCAATCGCACTTTTCGATTACAATACACTGTAAAAATTTTATAATACATACCAATGAGAAAGTATTATTTTATGCGCGACAATCACGAAAATGATAGCAATTTTGCGAAGCTTAAGAATAAATCATAATTCTTCATTTTTGGTTGCTTTCCTTTTTTTTTTTCTTAACGGCCACTTACAAATACGCGGAGATGTAGCTGGGTGCAGCATTGAAGATGCTTGCTTGTCTTTGAACGCACGTTATTCAGAAATGCCTGTGCCTCTGTTTATCATTATTCAACCAACTTGTTAATTGGACAACTTTGAACAGCTATACGATTATCATCATACCAAAATGTCTAGAATTAGTAACTTTTTGTATAAGATGTCTGTCATTTTTAAAATAATCAGATAACTCTTTAAATAGTTCCTTGACACATGTATGTAAAAATGAAAATCACTAATAGATGTTGCAGTTTACATGAAATAAAAGTATTCTTGGAAACTAGTTATAATCAACGGTGTCATTTGAAATGTACCAATCGGTAAACGTATCGTCTAAAGGTGGCCTTTGATTGGCACTCATTTTAATCAACTTTTGCAAAAAAATCACGAACTATTCGCGCTACTGCATGATATGTAAGTTTCTGATAGACACTGAAAAGAGAAAGAGAAAGGTAGATGGATAGATAGATAAATAGGGGCGAGGGAGAGAGAGTGAGCGCGGGTGAGAGAGGGGGGAGATAGAGAGAGAGAGAGAGAGAGAGAGAGATAACAGAGTTTAAACGGATATGACGCAGAATACAAATAGTTCGATTGGTTAGTATCCTTAAATGTGAAATCCTAACGCATTTAATACGCGACTCGTTGATTTACTGATATTTCATACGATTAACTTGCAGACCATATATTAAGTTACTTCTTGATTTTTGAAATGTATCTAATAGAAAAATAATAAAAAGTAATGTGTCCATATATAGTATTCGTATTCACGCATGCGGTTTTCGTATGTGGGCTAGAATGACGTCATAGGCAAAAGAGGAAAAAAGAGAGACATATAAAGAGAGAGGAAGTAAGGATAATAAGTGGTAGGGGAAATTGATGTACACGTGTGCGCAAGTATATGTGCTCCCTGGTTCCCGTGGCCGTGGCATCGTACAGTTCGTAGAGTGGTGGAGTGTGTCAGTTGCTTGGGAAGTCTGCTCTTGTCGTGCATGTCTATGATTACGAGTGGTAAGATAACGCGAGTGATTTTACCGAAGTAAGGGTAGTGGATTTCTATTAAACGAAATTAATACGTACCACATGCACAACTAATTAAGATGCTCATCAAGGAATTGTAAGTCGACCATTTTTTATTCTATTGCATTAGAATTTATATATGAGCGCGATGTGTAATTGTAAAGCCTAAATTTGAAACTAAAGTTTCGGATATGGTTACCGATCTTTAACGGTGTGTGATAATGGAGGGGAGAAGAGACATCTTCACCCTTTACGGCCTCTTAAGGGAAACTTTTCTATGAAAAGAGATAAATATCTTAGTTTTATTATCTAATCTCATATTCAAAATTTCTGATAATATTGATCTGTTACGGACTTGCTGTTCGGACAAAATTTTCTACTTAATCGTACGTATTTGCACTTATGTATATGCTTCTATTCGATGAAGAAAGATCTTTGGTCTCAAGGCCAATTCCTTAAATTTTGTTATTTTCCCACTTTTTAACATACTAATAACACAATTTATTACGGTTTTGTTTCAGCCGTGTCACTCTACCTTTGACCGTGGAAGAAGTATGTATTTAAATCACTATAAGCTGTAATTATAATTGAGATGTTCTTCTATAATAATACTCTGCAGTTATCTTCAGTTGCAATTCATCTAATTATTATCTCTTAAACATTACTGGCATATTTTATTTGTTAAATTTAATTATGTAGTTTGGTCCGTCTATTAAGAAAACTATAATTAATTAATAATATGTAGTTGAAAGGATAGAGTTCTAGTAGGGGACAAAAAGAAAAAGAAAACGAAAAAAAGATACATCATTGCTTTAATAAAAATTCTTTCAATTGCATAATCTAATTTTAAACAATAATTAAATTTTACATAACTTCTATCAACTTTATTTAATTTCTAGGTTTTATTGATTTTTCTATCCATTGTAATAATGAAAATTTATATTAATATTATTTTAACTTTTTTCATTTTCAACAGTACCAAGTTGCTCAATTGTATTCCGTGGCAGAAGCAAGTAAAAATAATACGGGCGGAGGAGAAGGTATAGAGGTTCTAAAAAATGAACCCTTTAAGGATTATCCTCTTCTCGGTGGAAAATATTCTGCGGGTCAATATACATATAAGATTTATCATTTAGCCAGTAAAGTGCCTGCTTTTATTCGTATCTTACTTCCAAAGAATTCTTTGGAAATTCATGAAGAAGCTTGGAATGCATATCCATATTGCAAAACTATTATAACTGTAAATATATATATTTATATACATCTATATGTATTTGTGTGTGTGTGTGTGTGATATAAGAAAATACTTTTTTATTTTACGGAAATTTTATTTTACTTTATATCAATTTCTTTCGCAGAATCCGGGTTATATGAAGGATAACTTTATAATTATGATAGAATCTTTTCATATTGGAGACTGTGGAAATCAGCATAATGTAAGTACTAAGTACTATGATCACACAATAGTAATATTCTTTATGCATTATTTACTGTTTATATATATATATATATATATATATATAAATATATATATATATAATTGGCAGGTTCATGAATTACCTTCTGATAAGCTTAAAATAAGAGAAGTAATACATATAGATATTGCAAATGATTCTATTGCAACTGCTGATTATAAAGAAGATGAAGATCCAACAAAGTTTAAATCACAGAAAACAGGACGAGGTCCTCTTGTAGGCAAAGATTGGATGAACAATATTCAACCTGTGATGACATGTTATAAGCTAGTTACTTGTGAATTTAAGTGGTTTGGGTTGCAAACACGCGTTGAAAGTTTTATTCAAAAGGCAGAGAGACGTCTATTCACAAATTTTCATAGACAAGTTTTCTGCTGGATAGACCGTTGGTATGGATTGACAATGGAGGATATCAGAGCTATTGAAGATAATACTAAAGAAGAATTAGACAGGGTAAAGAGTTGTCTCTTTTGTAAATCGCATAATAATGAATACCCACATTATATCAATGATTTTTTTTTTTTTACAGCAAAGACATCAAGGTGAAGTACGTGGAATGCAAGCTGATGATTGAGGCTTCAAATGCCTCTGTCATAAATGGTTTAAATCAATTTCCTTATACATGTCATACATAGATACATGCGCATACCTATGGATGTATACCCAGACAAACCCTGCCATAGGCGATCCTGCAGGATCGGGACATTTTCCAGAACTTATATGTCTAGATTTAGTGTCTATTACAATTACTTACAATTTTAATTTATTTACATTTACAACCATTTTAGATAAATGTACCTACAGTCAAAGATTGTCATTAGAATATAACTGTTAACATGGAGAACTGATATAAATCGGTCCTATTTAAGTAATGCATAAACTGTGAAAAAAAGAGAATTTGGTTTGTTTAAAACCAATATAGATAAAAAACAGTAATGATTAATAATTTAGTAGTTCGATAATAATATATAATGAAATTTGTCAACAAGCAATTGAAATTGCTTGATACAAAGTACATACAAGGGTAAATGTGATTAGATGTGAATTTAATTTATAGGCAGATGTTTAAAAGGGATAAAAAAAGAAATAAAAAAAGAAAAAAAAGATAATGATTTAGATCTTATCACGGTGAATATGATTTATGTATTTATATAATTAAATTGGGTAGATGAGATAGACTTTTGCTCTTGTATTCTCAAGCTTACTGGCATATTGTGATGATGTTCTCCAGCATTCCTCAAGGCCTGCACAATGTATTATAATCAGGAAATTAAAGAAATCTATTTTGTTAGAATCACAATACGAATTTCACTAATAATATATTTCTCAGAATGTATACCAATGTTATAATAGATATGGTAGGTTACAAAAAGTGAGGCTCGTGCATTATGCTTTCCATTGAAAAGCAAAGTTGTCCCACATTCTTTATTTAGGACCAAATTGATAGATTTCTGAAACAAATTTGAATACAATAAACTGACATAAGTAATTCATTGTATGGAATTGTGGGATGTATATATTTTATGCAAAACAATAAGAAATTGAAAATATTAATATGACACACATCGAGAGGTTATTACTCTCCGTTTCAATATTTATGACAGAGAGAGAGAGAGAGAGAGAGAGAGAAAGAGAGAGAGAGAGAGAGAGAGAGAGAGAGAGAGAGAGAGAGAGAGAGAGAGAGAGAGAGAGAGAGAGAGAGGGAGGGAGAGAGAGAAAAAAGAGAGAGAGAGAGGAAAGGAAAAAAATTCTCTATTGTATATAAGCAAAACAAATAATAAGCAAAACAAATAATGAAATTCAAATTAAAATGTTTCTTTTGCATTCCAATGGATCTCTATAAAATTATATAAATTTCTTCAAAACAAGTTCTATATGCGCACTCTGAGAATAGTTTGTGCATAGTGAAAGTATTGATGAAAACTGCAGCAATTAAGTAAGGAAAATAGTATGAGGTGTCATTTGCACAAACTAAATATACAGTTTCAAACTTAGGCTAATGTGTAAGATAGACTTTGAAATTTGAGTTTATTTACAATAATAGTTTAAAGAAGGAACAGTTGTGTGTGCATATATATATATATATATGTATATATATATATATATCTACATCTATAATAAAAATCGGTATACATAAAATTGTTATAAATATTATATGCGCTAATAGTTGAATAAACAAATAATTAATTTACCTTTCGCTATAATATTGATTGCCAAGAAATGAGGTTTATGCTGCTCTATTGAAACTTTCACTGTATGTTTCAAACCTATAGTTTCTCCATTGAATTCCACTAATATAATAGATTATTTTTGTGGAATTGAACTATACTGTGCGTAATATGTACTACCTGTATTATAACATCCATTACTTAATATGTAGGTAAGCATTAGGTGTTCCTTACGGCAAGCAGAATAGAAATCGTTAATAGAAATTTCTATAATGTTGCCAAGAGTTAACCAGTAAAATACCAGTATATATGTGTAAATGTATGCTGTGCATTAGTACACATACATATATGCATGTATATTTGTGTCAAATATTTACATAGTCAAAAGCGAATAAAAGTAGAAGGCATGGTATGTGGAACATGTATTGTTTCTTTTCTTATATATCAAAGTATGCCATATAAAAAATATATAAAAATATATAGCTTGTGCGTACAAATTACAATTTAACTGAAATTATATTCTTTTATAAGATTTCCAGCTATAACCAATTTTTGTATTTCTGAGGTTCCTTCATATATTTCTGTAATGCGCGCGTCTCTATAATATCGTTCTGCTGGCATATCAGTTACATAACCCATACCACCCAATATTTGTATACACTGATGTGCACAGAAAGTAGCAGCTTCAGATGCCGATAGTTTTGCCATAGCAGCTTCCTGTATATAATAATATCTTACTATTTTATAATTTCTTTTTTTATATAACTCTAATATAGCTTTATCATTTACGGAAAGAAATGATATATACCTTCGTATATGATTTACCAATATCTTTAAGGTGTGCAGCTCTCCATGTTAATAATCTGGAGCTTTCCAATTTTAAAGCCATATCTGCCAATTTTTGTTGAATGGTTTGTAATTTTGCAATGGGACTTCCAAATGCTTCTCTCTTTGCTGCATATTCCACAGCACAATCGAGAGATGCTTGGGCTATTCCAAGGGCTTGGCAGGCAATACCTATTCTTCCAGAATCTGAAAAGTATATGTAAATTCATGAGAACATTTAACGTTGGATAAACTAAAATGTAGATATACAGACCTAATGTCATCATTGCAATTTTAAAACCCATTCCTGGTTCTCCTAAAATATTTTCTTCTGGTATCTTGCAATCTTCAAATATCAAAGAACAAGTACTGCTACCTCTTATACCCAACTTATTTTCTTTTTTACCTAGGGATAAACCACTTATGGGTTTATCCACTATAAAACTACTTATTCCTTTGTGTTTCTTTGATTTATCTGTGGTAGCAAATAAAATAATTGCTTCTGCTTCATATCCATTCGTTATCCATGATTTAGTTCCATTGATTTCATATTTATTTCCATTTTTCACTGCAGTGGTAGAAGCAGCACCTGCATCCGATCCATTACCAGGTTCGCTCAGAGCAAAGCAACCAACTTTTTGTCCATCTAAAAATGTTCTAATATATTTTTCTTTTTGCTCCGGTGTACCAAACTTTTCTATAGGTCCAAGATACAATGAATTATGTACACTCATTATTACTCCTGTACTGGCGCAACCTCTAGATATTTCTTCCATGGCAATTGCATATGCCAAATAATCTAAGCCAGTTCCACCTAAGTTTTCAGGAATTGCGATACTCATGAGACCAAGCTCGCCCATTTTTTTAATTTGTTCTTTTGGATAAAGATGTTCTTTATCTAATTTTACTGCAATGGGTTTCAGTTCACCTTCTGCAAAGTCTCTATAAATAGGAATGTCAACAAGAATATATAAATATTCTTTCAATCAAATATCTTTTTAATTAGTTTACATGCAATTTTATAATAAATGTATTACTGTATGATTATTTATCATGATAAATGTAAATATTACTTGTTAACTTTCGTAAACATTAAATGATAATTAGAAACAAATAATGATAACCTGCAAGTTTTATATAACATCTGATGTGTCTCAGGTAAGGAAGAAATTGAAGCGATGCTTCGTGCAGTCGAATAATATGTTTGAAAAACATTGCAGCATTTTCCTGAAGGGAGAAAACGAAGGTTAAAAATCTATGTGATTTGATTATCAGATTGTTTATATCATAATTATTATCAAAGCTCACCAATTAACCTCAAATTTTGCATTTTGTGAGTATTTATTAATATGTAAATTTAATAAAGTAATTCGCACAATTATAATAATTAATAGGATTTCTAGAAATAATACAAGTTTATGTCAATGTCAAAATTTCAGTTAATGTAAAAATATATTTACATAGAAATAATAGGGATGATATAAATGCAATAGAATTAATTATTTGAAAGTTAATTATTTGAAAATATCGGTTTCATTGACACAAATGAAGCGTACGATATCGTTATTTAAAATTAAATTAAAATAAGATGACTACGTAAGAACACTCGCGTGGTTCGTTTAACGTTATTTATTCGTTTTTCCTTTCTTATGCGTACCCGAGTTGAAAGTCCAACTCGCCGAACAATTATTATTAGTGAATTGATTTTTATTTCTTTTCTTTTTTCTTTTCTTTTTATTTTTACATGGCACAATATTCAATATATAATTCATGCCACTAACTATAAACTAGTTTAACACGTGTATAGTCATTCAATTAGTCGTCATTAAAATATGACGTCGACGTTGGCTTAAATGGAATAAGTATATTTAGAATATTATAGAAGTAAGGTATAAGCATATAAGTATATAAGCATATTATTACAAGTATTATACAAATATTGGATATTTGCAAGAAATTTTCATCTAATATACTTTTTATTATTGTAATTCGAATGTTTATTTAAAAAAAAGATATTATATTCACATTATCATTTCAATAATTACGATGAAAACATCGTATGTATATAAAAAGTATGTGTGTGTGTTGAACCAAAAATCAAATTTGGCGCGATCTTGTACGATAGATCGATGTGAATTGAATGGGGGAAAAAAAAGAAAAAAAAAAAAAAAAGAAAAAAAAAAGAAATAAAACAGAAAAAATATAATAAAAATAAAAGGAAATTAATTAATTTGATATCGTGTAAAATCTATTATTTGTGTTTACATTTAGAATGAGAGAAAAGTTGAGTGTTCTAGGGTTGTGTGTAAAATAGAAGAATAAAAATAGATTTATTCAGGTCAACGCCTCTCTCGAGATCATTTTCGTCAGTGAGTTTCCTCTCTATGCTAGTCTCGTTGGATCGTGACACGATGATTGTTGACAGCCCCCTTTAGGAAGGAGCTTGTTGGATCTCGCGTGAAAGAAGTGCGATGTCAGTGACTTTGTTCTTTTAGTAAACGAAAATCTTCAAGATCGTTCTGCAATAGAAACTTTTCTAAGGGAAGAACATTAAAAGTTTAGTTCGGTTTCGTTGAACGATTCCGATTGTTTATCATAGGAAGGTATTCGTGATAGTGTAAAAATGAGGTGAGTAAACTTCCCAAAAGCCACTGGCTTCTTGTTCGAACTTCTTTTACACGCCGCTTTTTTTCTCTCCTCTTCTGAATTTCGTTAAAAATTTTGCGATCACGCTTGGCACGACATTATTATGTCGGTTGTATCAGGCGATGTGTCAATACAATTTAACGATATATACGTCAAAATATACGGACTTGTGGCAAATGTGCGATAGTATATTATGTTGCTGAAAATGAGGGAGAGGCGGGAAGAGATAAAGGCGGTACGTTAGCTGTCATATAGAGACGCCATATTTTTTTGAATGACGTTTCATGTTTATCGTTGATTCTTTCTACGGTAGACACAAGTGTTTTCTTTCGACTCTTATTTTTCCATTGATATTCAATAAATTTAATTAAAATGACAGACGATAATTTTTTTTTTTTTTTTTTTTTTTTTTCTTTTTTTTCTTTTCCATACAAGATCATACGATGTACATATTAACAAAAGAGATATGATTATTTTATTATTACATTACTATCAGCAGAATTTGATCATAAATATTTTTTTTCGTTGTTTTTAGCGGAAGATCACAAATAACAGCAATGAATGGAAAAAGGCCATCTTCTATGCCTGTGAAGCATCAAACTGAAACTTTGGCTCAGCATTTCGACCTAATCAAATACATATGTGACTGTATGCACTTAAGATAATCTATCAATGTTCCTTTCTTTTTTTTTTCTTTTTTTCTCATTCTTATCAAAACAAACAAAATAATTATTTGTTTTCTATTTGTAGCTTGGAATTCTGTATCAAGAGAATTAGACATGTGTTATAATCAACCGCACTTAAATTCTTCGAATTACAGGAATGGTACTTCTGTTACATATTACCAAGAGCGCGAGCCAAATCCCCAACTTAAAGGTAAATAATCTTTCGTCTCTTTTTCCAAAGAACAATTGTACGTTTTAACGTAAAAACTGATCTTTATTTTTTCCTTGTAGATTTTGAGCCATTCGATCTTGAAGCCTGGTGGGGACAACGTGTAGTTCAAAGTATTACCAGAAATGCGAGTTCCTAGTGCCAGGCTGAACTTGTTGGCTATAATCGAACATTTTCGAACAGACATAAGAAACAGAAGAGATAATCTCAAAGTTGTAAAAATAACTTTTGTCTTCTCTAGGAACAATGCATCGTATACATTATATAAAAGAAAGAAGTAACGATGGTACACAAATATAGACACACATAAAGACACACGAACATATACACGAACACACAAGTATCCGTTTGAGCGACTTGTGAAACTTTTGATAATGAGAATGGCGGTAGGTAAATATTACGGGAAAACAAAGAGGAAAGGAGAATAGCATTATTTTATGCACATGCTATGAAACAACATTCCTCTCACCTTTGATCTTATTTTAATGCAATGTTATCTTTTACTTCGTCAGTTTAAGAAACACACGTATTATATAAAATTGAAATTTTTACCTTTTCCTAGTTCTAGCGTACGTTATCTTTGTAAGATTCAAGAGACGTAGTAATTAGGAAGATGTTGATGCATGACGAATTATTTATTTTATTTCTCAAAGAAAAATGTAAGTATAGGCACTAGTTTATTCTGACATTAAATTTTCTCTATTATTTAACGTGTTATATATATATATATATATATAACACGCATTTAAATAAATATGTATATAAATAAAAAATAATTCCGCGCGTTTTTTACATTTTTAAAGTAAGATTTATGTGGATAGAAAACTAACTTAATGCACAAAGCATTTAATGGATAATATAAACACGAGTGATAGAAACACGCGGATAGATAGTCTTCAACGTATACTTCTAAGAATTTAACACACACACACACACACACACACACACACATGGATTTTCACACTAGTTGCATTTTACACTATTAAAGATTTTGCTCTTCTTGGCACTCACGGAAAAGAAAATATTTATGTTAAAATAAAAATAGGAAAAAGATTTTCTAAACTAATATTAATCATTCTAGAATGATTAATATTAATATAAAAGAAAAGAAATACTATATGCGATTGAAATAGTAGACGTAAATTGCAGAACTATTTCTGCATAATTTTAAATACGTACACACACGTACCCACGTGCATGCATGCATACATATATACATGTATGTATGACATGTATATGTTTATAATATGTACATCTATGCGTGTATAGTAATTGTATAAGATTAATTGGATAGCGTTTTTAATGACAAAACAAAAATAACGATTAGTAACCTTCTACAATGTGAGAGTTTTTTTTTAATTGCCCAATCATCTAGTTATGTTCTTATCAAACTTTTCAACAGTATGTATTATTTAGTCTGCAGCCAAACGTTCGATGCACTCAAAAAATTCATCGTTTCTCAAACATTTGGAATTTTTTCCAATCATAGATCGTGCATGATGTAACGTGTTATACTTTAAACGAGCTACGGTCTCTTCCAAACTTGATAAATTCCTTTCAATGGCACGTTTTTCGCTATTTAACATCTGTTTGATCGATGAAGCTTTTCTTAAGAACAATGATATTGATTTTATGAAAGAATTATTATCGCGTTCGCGTTCGAGTACCTACCGTATAGCCAACATTTAATCGTAGAAAATTGCGTATTTCAGTGATCGAAGTTTGCGTATAATTATCACGCTTTCGAGTTAATACCGTCTGAGTGGCACAGTTAATGCCGGTACGCTTGATTTTAATGGACGTCGAAAGATTTTTCAAAAGTATTACGACTTTATCCGGGGAACTTTCCTGATATTTTTCCTCGCAATCCACAATTTCCAATTTTAAGTGCGCCACCTTTGTACCGGCCACAGGCGAATGTTTGATTTTCATTTGTCGATTGTTTGAGAATCCGATCACATATTCGTCATAAAAAATTCCATTTTTATGCGATTCGATGCAGAGCAATTTTTCATCAACGTCGTTGGACACGATGTCCTTACTGTCACGATTATATCTCGTTGGGAAAGGTTTTTCTTTGGATTCTTTCCTGTCGTTTATAACCGTTCGATCCTCTTCGAAATCATTTTTGAACGACGTATCGTTTACAACATTTTCTACGTCGTCGTTTCCTTTCGAGTTCGCTTCGTGCTCTATCCATATTTCATTTCGATTCTCTTTTACGTTAGCGTTGTTATCGTTGACATTTAAATCCCTATAATTATGAGACTCTTCGATTTTGTTTTCTCTCTCATCGATGTTTTCCTTTAAATCTTCTTTCTCTCTTGAAACTTGATTGTCCGATCGAAATTGCGTCTATGATCACAAAAACGTTTGGAATATTTTATTTTAGAAAAAATGTA